TGATTAATAGTGATATACAACATTCCTTCAAAATGTTCATGGAAAATACATATGAAAAGTATGCATGGATTTCAATTTTTGCACCAAAATAAATGTATCTTAACTCCATTTTTTTTTTACAAACTTTAAAGTATGCTTAGATATCTAATGTTGCACATTTTTTCCTGCCTGGGCTGCCCTCCCTACTTCTGCATCTGGATTATTTGGTCTTGGGCAGAAGATACCAGTAAGAGTTTCCTCTCTTGATCTCCAAGTGGCCACTGTGATAATAGAAGGCATTTTGAGATTGCAGTCACTGCCCGAGGGCAGGTGCCCTTCACATAGAGGGAACTCCTGGGTTTGAAACAAAGTGCTCTCAGAGCTGGTACTGTTCTCTGTATCTCTGAAAGACCTGAGATGCTTCTGTCCATGTTCTTGGTTGACCAGTGAATGTCACTGATAGAGGGTGAAGGCTCGGGTGCCCTCAGCTCTCAGCGTTCTTCCTGGAAAATGGAACACTTCTACTCCTCCTGGGACATCCAAGTTTGCTATCATTCCTCTCTGAAATTCCCCCTTTCTTGGGCAAGTTTTTCTGGCTTTTCCAGGGGAACACATATGGCCTCCACTAAGGAATAGCAGAAGGGACTTGTCTGCAGTGAGTGAGACCATATCCTCAGTTATGAGAATGGAAGTTTGAGCAGGGTGGGATGTGTCTGTGTCCACCTGTGTTCCAAGTCAGCAGCTCAGGTTATGAGAACTGGGAAAAAAGGGCTCAGTTTATCTTCCAGAAGCTTCTACCATAGAGGATGAAATCAGCCAAGGTAAGGGGAAGGGGAGGGTTCCATACCCTTTCTGTGCAACCACACCACCTCCTCTCTGAATCCTGCCCCCAGTCCCAGGGCTTGAAGGTTTTGTTGTTGGAGAGAGGTGTGGAAAAGAAATTTAAACAAAGGAAGTATCTAAGGCCCCAGGCCTAGCTGCTAACAAGTGTCCTATGTATCTACAGCTCAGGCCTGTGCCTCAGGACCAGGGGTCTAGGAATGGGAGGATGGAGAGAAGACCAGGGACTGTGGAGGGGGTCTAGTGCTGCATCTCTGGGGAGGGAAGGGCCCTGCCTCTGCAGACAGGGCAGGGGTGTGGGGGCATAGACTCTGAAGTCAGAAGTAAGGGAGCATGGGCCCAGCACTGTGGTGCAGCAGGTTAACACCCTGGCCTGAAACGCCGGCATCCCATATGGGTGCTGGTTCAAGACCCGGCTGCTCCACTGCCAGTCCAGCTCTCTGCTGTGGCCTTGGAAAGCAGTAGAAGATGGCCCAAGTCCTTGGGCCCCTGAACCCATGTGGGAGATCTGGAGGAAGATGCTGGCTCCAGATTGGCACAGCTCTAGCCATTGCAGCCAACTGGGGAGTAAGCCAGCGAAAGAAGACCTCTCTGCCTCTCCTCTCTCGGTATAACTCTGTTCAAATAAATAAACCTTAAAAAAAAAAAGCATCTATTTCTACTACTGTCCCCTCAGAAGTGGTTTCCAGTCCCTCTAATAGAAGAAACCTTTCTCCCTATTCTTCCCCCTCCCCTAGATCCAGACCCCTCAGCCTTTGAACTGCTCCCCCAACCAGCAGGGACATACACACACTGTATTAACCTGCCCTGTTGGCCTCTCTGACCCAGATCTCTGATGGCTGCTAGTAGATTCTGCCAAAGCCTCCCCCCAGAGTAGAGGACAGAGCCTGGAAGCCTGTGGTACTGGTCCCCCACTGGGGTCCTATGGAAATTGTCCAAGCCTGTGAAGGACTGCAGATGGGAGATGTCTACGGTGCAGAGGAGGTTGGGAATAGGTTGGTGTTGGTCCCTGGGAGTGGGAGTCTCTGTAACATGTGGCTCTGGGGTTGTGTAGATGTACCGTCCTCCCTGCTGCCAGTTCCTAAAGCCCATGAGCTAGGACTGGAGCTCTCCCAGCCACACCCTGGTCACAATGGAGTTGGCACTACAGGCACATCGTAGTGTGAAACACACTTTCCCAGAGCTACGATGTGACCACATCCCCTCTTGGCCTCCTGACTTTGCTTGGGAACTGTTCCAATGGAGAAGAAGGTTAAGTACTTGCTCTGTGCCAAGCCCTGGAGGTGAAGACCCCACAGCTTTCTCCAGGCCTCTATAAGGACGACTCCAACATCAGAGAGCAGCAGCTACATGTGGAGCTGGTTTCTTTAGGAGGAGAAAGGATCTTAAATACTGTAATGATGTCTGAGAAGGATATGAATCCTGGAGCTTGATTATTACATCCCCTATGCCTAGTCCAGTGCCAGGGACACAGCAGATCCTTAGGAAATGGTTTTAGGACCAGATACTGGGGATCCAGCTGGACAACTCACTTGGATAAATGATGGAAGAGCATCATACTTCAGTCATGATACAAACTGCACTTCTAGGAGTGACCGACAGGCTGATCAAAAAGGCATGCTCATGTGGCATAGCATGTTAAACCACCACCTGTGATGCTGTGATATCATATACACCAGTTTCAGTCCTAGTGTTCCACTTCTGAGCTGTCTCCATGCTAATACACCTGGGAAAGCATCAAAGGATGGCCCAAGGGCTTGGGCTCCTGCACCAGAGTGGGAGACCTGGAGGAAGATCCTGGCTTCAGCCTGGCCAAGCCCCGGGCATTGTGGCCATTTGGGGAGTGAACCAGCACATGGAAGATCCTTCTCTGTCTCCCCCTCTCTGTGTAATTTTCAGACAGATAAGGACATTCCACACTGTCTACAAGGCATACTTATCTTCCATACCTACCTATCTACAGACTCTGAAAGCCCCAGACATCTGTGAAAATTTAAAAGGAAGTAGGAATGCCAAAAAGGAACCCTGAATAGTGCCATAGTTTTCCTGATGATCTAATGTGTACTGTTAAGTTTCTTATGGACATAAATATGCATTCAGAACAGTATACACAGTATGCTAAAAAATTTTTCTTGTGACTGAATACTCCTCTGTAATAGAATCCAAATCCAGAACACTGCCAGCACCCCCAAAGATCTGAATGAGTTCCCTTCAAGTCACACACCACAAAGATCATCACTAGCCTCATATATATAGCATAGATTTGTTTTCTTTATTTGAATCCTATGTAAATGCAATTGCACAGAACCTATTTATGTGTAGCTTCATTTTAGTTTCATGGTGTTCCTCAGTCAACATTGTAGGACTGGGTGTTAGGATTTCTTGTAATTGCCATCGATTCATTCTCTTTACTGTTTCTATGGCATTGTTTTGACACACTCTCCAACACAATTTACAGAGCCTTTCCATTGAAGACATTTAAATTCCTTCCAGTTTCACACTATAAAAATTTTTTCATGAATATACATAAAATATAAATCAGATGTGGCTATTATATAACCTCTAAAATCATGATGAACATTGTTAATTAGAGATTCTGTGAAATCTTACAAAATGTGTTCCCACTAAAGCAACAATACCTGGCAGTCTTATTTACTTTCATTTTATTTGAAAAGCAGAGAGAGAGAGACTGTCCATCCATGGTTCACTTCCCAAATGCCAGCAACAGCTGGTCCTGGGCCAAGCCAAAGTCAGGAATCTGGAACTCAATCCAGGTCTCC